TTTTCAACAAACTGAATTACCGTGTCCTTCTGTCAAGGATTTTATATCATTTTATTACTATTAAGACGTGTTAAACAATTTAGAAAAGCCATGTATAATCCAACAATTTAGAAATAATCCAACAAAATGAGTTTTGAAAAATTCATAGAGTATAAATAGAAGCTGAGGAGCATAGATTAAATAAAAGTTAACGTTATGTGGGTTAATTAATAAGCAAAATACTTTGGTAAAACGATAAAATTAAACGAGCAATTATTTATTGTGAAATCATCACAATAACGGGCTGCAATTTTTAAATTGTAATATATTTTTATAGAAAGATTCTTATCAGCTTCGATATAAAGAAGTACATTTCGTCAACCTGAATATCATCATAAAGGCATTTTTAACTATAATGTTTCCACTTTTACCATCTAAACTCCGGAAGAGAGTAAGTGATTACAACTTTTTTTTTCAATTTATTCAGATTTCAATAAATTTCTGAAAATAACATTTTACTTACAGTTTCATATTCATTCTGACATGGAATCTCTACACAAATTCGTCAACCCAGACTGCTTGCCTTCAGAATATGGAGGAAATTTACCCGATTTCGATCCCACTGAAGCCACTAATATGATCAAATCTAACGAAGAATACTTTCAAAGGAACGAAGAGTATGTGAAATTGTACGAAGAACAAAGAAATAAGAATTTTACAGAGGGCACATTTAGATACATTCGCGAAGGTGTAGAAGACGAAAAAATAAAGAAATTTATGGAAAAATCAGAAGAAAAATTCCAACGTCATGCTGACAATCCAGAAGCTTTCATAGCTGCTTTGAAAGAAGATTCTGAATTCGAAATGACTCATTTTTAAGTGGTGGATATGAAGTCAATTTTTAAAACAAAAAAGATAAATTGCAGTTAATACTTATCACAAGTAAGTAAGTGTATACTAACGTTACAAAATAAATTTTTGCATTAGAAATTATTTTTTATTGAGTAAACTATGATGATTTTGTAAACACTAAACAACTTTTTGTTGTACCTTATCTTAACTAAAGAAATAAAATGTGTCATCCATTTTATGAAAACTTTATAAATCTAGATGCTTCTTTACAAAGACAAGAATTTGAAATTTCTATTTAAAATATACAAACTCCCATTTAATACTAAGTAAGATAAAGTATAATATTTTGATGAAATTAAAAATACAAATAAGAATTACCAAATTAAAAATATTTGGAACTGTACAGGGAGGAATTAACAAAACTGTTGTCTTAGTAAGCGATGTTTCTTTCTTTACACTTCTGGTTATATACTTAAGAATCTTGTACTGTACTTAATAACTTCAGTAAGTATGAATATAGTAGTCTGTAGGAATTTATTCGTATTCTAAGATAAAAGACTTTGTTTCATAACTTTTATGGTTATATGTACAGAATGAAGAATATCCTAATAAGGTTATTAACATTGTTAGATTGAAATAGGAAAGCGGAGGCAGTTGCTATAATCTTCCAAGTTAATTATGAGAACAATAAGATACGTTCGCTTATAAATAAGATTGTGTGTAGCTCTATGTGTCTTAATTTTTTCAATGGAGATAAGTCTTAATTTTGATAATAATTATGAGTTCTCATAAATACTGTAAGTGATAATAACGAGTAAAATTTTTGTTAAGTGTGATTCCATACAAGATATGACACAGAACTCATCTTCATCTCCTCCTTGTCATTTCACCAAAATTTAATAACATCAATTGCTTATATATAAAAATAATCCTAATAAGTTGAAAACACATATATACTTCTTAGGCTCCCGTGACTTGCTAACGAAATTTTTTTGAGTTATTTTATCTGGTACAAAATGCCTGACATTATACCTGATAGGAGTTTGTCTTATTGAAAATGTTAATCCTGCCAAGAAATTGTGCACGACCTGTTATCTGTTGCCCAGAGGTACTTCGAGTTTTAAAGGAAAAACCAGTTTTACAGACGTTCCAAATTTCTTCATAAAAACAATGAATCTGTTTAAAAATTTTTTCTTTGTAAAATGTATTCGTTTCAATGTCTCCATTGTTTTATGTATAAATAAATTCTTTTCTAAATCTGAATTGTAACCACAAGGTCAGCATACTACTCACCAGAATACACAATTTGATAAATGTACAAATAGTTCCAGTTTATTTTATTTTAATTATTTAAAATAAATTAATACCAAATATTCATCAGGAGTTTAACCCCTTTTATAGACCAAAAACTTAAATGTAATTTGGTTCTATACCTGAGATACTTGCACCTAAAATATTTATAGTGTTACTTTCCATTATGCACGATAAATAGAAAAGTAAAACGTTCATGGTGTTTACACTTCTAAACGATAACTAAACTATATTAATAAACAAAAACATTTTAAAAATCCAACATATATTTTCTCATTTATATACTTTTACGTAATATGAAATATAAAAATAGATATAGAGGAAATGTTAAGATGCAGTATTTACCTTGAAAAGTGGAGTAAAAAAGTGTTGTGTAACAGGACTAGAATAATTAATTATTCTGATATAAAGTTGCTGCGCGGTTTATCAGGCTTCCTTAGTTGTTTTTAGTAGAAATAACATTACTGAAATAAAATAAAATTTCGGTGTAATATTCAAATTTGCACACTTCATATGTAATTCAATATGGTTCTACGTCAATATGGTTCAAGAAACATTTGGTTTTGAAATATTCTTAGTGTTTGTGTCTGTTTGTTTTCCTGCAAGCGTTATATAACCCGAACTGCGGGTGTGCATTGAATCAATGAGATATACCTTTATATTCTGTTGTTTATAGTTTCACTTATATCAATTAATTAAATTGTATAATATTAAAACACATTTCTTTAAAAATGGGAGTGCACGCATGGCTGTTGGCATTTTCCTTTTCTTTATTACATTATTACAAATTATGTTTAGTTATAGCACAATATTGTATTAAATTTATAAGATTACAGTTCAAGTTACACACTTTTTTACTGGTTGTAGAATATTTAGTTTTTATATTAATTAAATATGCTTTTTTTAAACNAACAGATAGTTGACACATACTCGAACCGTTCCGAGTCTCGTTGTTTACATCTCGTGTCGCGCAAGAATTTCACGGTTTACTCGAGTTCGAACCTCGTCTGGGAACCCACATTATCAATGATCATTCATCCTGATCTTTGCATGAGGCATGATCTTTTGTATGAACTTTTCTCATAAGTAAATGTAGAAATTTTTCGTGTATTAAATGCACATGCAAATTGAACGAATAAAAAAATGCATTACTTTAACGGTGATTATTTTGAAATTAATATTTATAGTTAAAAAATGAAATAAAAGAAATCAGGTAACATTTTACCTCAAGGTCTACTTCTTATCGTTTTGTAGTAGTCAATAGAACTAGTTGTTAATAGATATGAACTTTAATTGAAACTTATTTCAATTGTCAGTAAAATATGAGTGAAATAAGCATTAAAAATTCGATATTTGAGGAAGAAAAAGAAGTGTTTTCTTATGATGAAAATGCCTTAAAAGATTTCAAAAGAATTATCAGTAAGTAAAGAATTTTAAAACTTTCAAGTAATAAAAACATAAATATATTAATATTAATGCATAATTACGCATTCTGAAAGTTCTTACTGTATTATAAAATAATAAATATATTTTTCTTTCTGATATCAACAGAGAATCAAGGGATTAACTTTCATATGGATGATATTTTTCTCCTTGGTTTTCTTCGTGCTAGAAAATTTGACCTCGAAAGATCTCTTCAGTTACTCAAAAATTACTTCAACGTTAGAATAGAATATTCCCAATACTTTAAGAATCATCTCCCTTCCAAGTTGGGACGTGTTTTAGACATGAACATAATGCGATTTTTGCCAATACTCGATCAGGACGGAAGTTACATTTACGTGTATCAATTTCGTAAGTAGAAATCTTATTTATGCTTTATAAATTTAGTAAAGAAAAAAATAAAGAAGAAACTAAGTTCGTTAACGATTCGCTGCGAAATTTGATAATTAATTAGCATTCTTCCTCAAACTACCATTTTTCAGTGATGTTATCCACTCTGCAAATAATTGGCAATAAATCAAGCATTGTGCATTTAAAGTTTCGTAATGTATAATCACTATAATTCAAATACTGTAGTTGAATGCAAATTAATTTACTGAAAACCTAACGTAACATAATATGATTAAATTTTTTTAGTTTCCTTTTATTATAAAATATTTCTATCAGGTTTTCAAAATATCTTTGTGCAATTTCGTTTATAGGTAACTGGGATACTTCTATTGCGAGTGGTGTCGAAGTATTGCGTGCTATAATGCTCGTACTGGATTTTCAGTTAAATTTTCATAGAGCTCAAGAAAAAAAAGTCGTATGTATTATTGACTCGGCGGGTTTAGCTTTGACACATTTCTACCATTATCCTCCTAGAGTCGTCCATTCAATGGTGACTTTTATACTTGTGAGTAATTTCTGATTAGCATAATGTGAATAGTAGAAATATATTTACTTATTGTGTAAATTGGGGCCTACAACTGCTTAATACAAAACTTTATTATAGCTATAATAATAATAACTAAATATATTTATGAAAATTATTTGATAAATTACATTCGTAATCATCACACTACTATATGAAAGCACAAAAACAGATTTTCCTCTAAGTTATTAATAAAATTAAAGCTGTAAACAGTCAATATTTTCATCTGTTATCAATGATCATTCATCCTGATCTTTGCATGAGGCATGATCTTTTGTATGAACTTTTCTCATAAATGAATGTAGAAATTTTTTGTGTATTAAATGCACATATAAATTGAACGAATAAAGAAATGTATTACTTTAATGGTGATTATTGTGAAATGAATATTTATAGTTTATAGTAAAAATAAAAGAAATCAGTTAACATTTTACCTCAAGGTCTACTTCTTATCGTTTTGTAGTAGTCAATAGAACTAGTTGTTAATAGATATGAACTTTAATTGAAAATTATTTAAAATTTCAGTAAAATATGAGTGAAATAAGCATTAAAAATTTAATATTTGAGGAAGAAAAAGAAGTGTTTTCTTATCATGAAAATGCCTTAAAAGATTTCAAAAGGTTTATCAGTAAGTAAAAAATTTTAAAACCTTCGAGTAATAAAAACATAAATAAATTAATATTAATGCATAATTATGCATTCTGAAAGTTATTACTGTATTATAAAATAATATTTTTCTTTCTGATTTCAATAGAAAATCAAGGAATTAACTTTCATATGGATGATATTTTTCTCCTTGGTTTTCTTCGTGCTAGAAAATTTGACCTCGAAAGATCTCTTCAGTTACTCAAAAATTACTTCAACGTTAGAATAGAATATCCCCAATACTTTAAGAATCATCTCCCTTCCAAGTTGGGACGTGTTTTAGACATGAACATAATGCGATTTTTGCCAATACTCGATCAGGACGGAAGTTACATTTATGTTTATCAATTTCGTAAGTAAAAATCTTATTTATGCTTTCGAATTGAGAAAAGTGAAAAAATATAGAATAAAATAAATTTTTTTTAACGATTTGTTGCGAAATTTGATAATTAATTAGCATTCTTTCTCAAACTACCATTGTTGAGTGATGTTATCCACTCTGCAAATAATTGGCAATACATCAAACACTATGCATTTAAAGTTTCGTAATATATAATCAGTATAACGCAAATACTGTGTTTGAATGCGAATTAATTTTCCAGTTAAATTGATTGTTTTGTCTCTAGTTTACTATGTTATACTGCATACAGAGCAATATTTGTTTTAATTTTTTTAACTCGTTTTAGATAACGAGTTTCTGTTGTATTCGATAATTTCGCAACATTATGGAAAAATAATAAATTTAATTTATGATTAAAAATTCTTAAATTTTAGAAATTAGTTTAATAAATTTTAATCAGGTCTTAAAAATGTTTTTGTGCAATTTTTACTTTATAGGTAACTGGGATACTTCTATTGCGAGTGGTGTGGAAGTATTGCGTGCTATAATGCTCGTACTGGATTTTCAGTTAAATTTTCATAGAGCTCAAGAAAAGAAAGTCGTATGTATTATTGACTCAGCGGGTTTAGCTTTGACACATTTCTACCATTATCCTCCTAGAGTGGTCCATTCAATGGTGACTTTTATATTTGTGAGTAATTTATTTTTAGCATAATGTGAATATGTAGAAATATATTTACTTATTGTGTAAATCTAGTATGTAAAGACATAGAGAGATGAACATGTCAACTCATTGAAATTTATAAGAAAATTACAGTAATATTTTTAATTTGTTCTGTATATTGGTACAGATTAAGTACTGTAAACTAGTTTGTAGTTGTTATTAGAAGGAGAAAGACGATCTATAAATGATTCTGGATTATGAAAGTGACAATTTTATCTGCTTTATCAAAAAACTTAACAATTTTCAACAAACTGAATTACCGTGTCCTTCTGTCAAGGATTTTATATCATTTTATTACTATTAAGACGTGTTAAACAATTTAGAAAAGCCATGTATAATCCAACAATTTAGAAATAATCCAACAAAATGAGTTTTGAAAAATTCATAGAGTATAAATAGAAGCTGAGGAGCATAGATTAAATAAAAGTTAACGTTATGTGGGTTAATTAATAAGCAAAATACTTTGGTAAAACGATAAAATTAAACGAGCAATTATTTATTGTGAAATCATCACAATACCGGGCTGCAATTTTTAAATTGTAATATATTTTTATAGAAAGATTCTTATCAGCTTCGATATAAAGAAGTACATTTCGTCAACCTGAATATCATCATAAAGGCATTTTTAACTATAATGTTTCCACTTTTACCATCTAAACTCCGGAAGAGAGTAAGTGATTACAACTTTTTTTTTCAATTTATTCAGATTTCAATAAATTTCTGAAAATAACATTTTACTTACAGTTTCATATTCATTCTGACATGGAATCTCTACACAAATTCGTCAACCCAGACTGCTTGCCTTCAGAATATGGAGGAAATTTACCCGATTTCGATCCCACTGAAGCCACTAATATGATCAAATCTAACGAAGAATACTTTCAAAGGAACGAAGAGTATGTGAAATTGTACGAAGAACAAAGAAATAAGAATTTTACAGAGGGCACATTTAGATACATTCGCGAAGGTGTAGAAGACGAAAAAATAAAGAAATTTATGGAAAAATCAGAAGAAAAATTCCAACGTCATGCTGACAATCCAGAAGCTTTCATAGCTGCTTTGAAAGAAGATTCTGAATTCGAAATGACTCATTTTTAAGTGGTGGATATGAAGTCAATTTTTAAAACAAAAAAGATAAATTGCAGTTAATACTTATCACAAGTAAGTAAGTGTATACTAACGTTACAAAATAAATTTTTGCATTAGAAATTATTTTTTATTGAGTAAACTATGATGATTTTGTAAACACTAAACAACTTTTTGTTGTACCTTATCTTAACTAAAGAAATAAAATGTGTCATCCATTTTATGAAAACTTTATAAATCTAGATGCTTCTTTACAAAGACAAGAATTTGAAATTTCTATTTAAAATATACAAACTCCCATTTAATACTAAGTAAGATAAAGTATAATATTTTGATGAAATTAAAAATACAAATAAGAATTACCAAATTAAAAATATTTGGAACTGTACAGGGAGGAATTAACAAAACTGTTGTCTTAGTAAGCGATGTTTCTTTCTTTACACTTCTGGTTATATACTTAAGAATCTTGTACTGTACTTAATAACTTCAGTAAGTATGAATATAGTAGTCTGTAGGAATTTATTCGTATTCTAAGATAAAAGACTTTGTTTCATAACTTTTATGGTTATATGTACAGAATGAAGAATATCCTAATAAGGTTATTAACATTGTTAGATTGAAATAGGAAAGCGGAGGCAGTTGCTATAATCTTCCAAGTTAATTATGAGAACAATAAGATACGTTCGCTTATAAATAAGATTGTGTGTAGCTCTATGTGTCTTAATTTTTTCAATGGAGATAAGTCTTAATTTTGATAATAATTATGAGTTCTCATAAATACTGTAAGTGATAATAACGAGTAAAATTTTTGTTAAGTGTGATTCCATACAAGATATGACACAGAACTCATCTTCATCTCCTCCTTGTCATTTCACCAAAATTTAATAACATCAATTGCTTATATATAAAAATAATCCTAATAAGTTGAAAACACATATATACTTCTTAGGCTCCCGTGACTTGCTAACGAAATTTTTTTGAGTTATTTTATCTGGTACAAAATGCCTGACATTATACCTGATAGGAGTTTGTCTTATTGAAAATGTTAATCCTGCCAAGAAATTGTGCACGACCTGTTATCTGTTGCCCAGAGGTACTTCGAGTTTTAAAGGAAAAACCAGTTTTACAGACGTTCCAAATTTCTTCATAAAAACAATGAATCTGTTTAAAAATTTTTTCTTTGTAAAATGTATTCGTTTCAATGTCTCCATTGTTTTATGTATAAATAAATTCTTTTCTTTCTAAATTTTGTCTTGTTACTCAATAAAATTTAGCAAGAATAGATATGTTTTAATTGTATTTATTCCGTGCTAATGTTATCGAGCAATAATTAAATACACATTTAGTACTGTTTTAAGTTTTGTACTTTTATTTTCGCTTTATCAAATTGCTGTTGTTCCTTTGAAATCATCTTTTCATAGTAAAATCAATGGCATCCCGGAAATGTTAATTCATTGAATTAGGATGTAATAATTTATACAAGTATAAGTTTTTAACTTACAATCTGCGAAAAATATAAATAAATCCCTTGGCCATACGATATAACACTGAATACTGGTTTAGTTTAGGTCAAGAGTTTTCACCTGGCCAACGGGCTGTTTTCCGGATTTTTTTTTTTTTTTTATATTAGTAACACCTGAATAAGAGCTACTTTCCCATAAAATATTTCACGAGAAGGTTTTTCATACGAAATTGGCCCCAATTTAGATATTACTAACGTGAAGAAAACCCAGAAAACTCCAAGTGTTCAGCCCGTTGGACACGAGAGAACCCACGACCAAATAACTACTGGTTTTAAGTGGTTTCATCCACTCGGCTACTGGTGAAAACCTAGTTTGGTAAGTGAATATTTTTTCACACGATCTTTCTCTAATTCCAAAGGATAGAAAGAACGTGCAATATATATGTATATCTGAAACTTCGAATAAACAATTTGTAACATGCCTTTGAAAACATTGTTATTGATTTCTTGAAGCAGAGACAAAGAGTCGAGACTGCGCCAACGTAGTACTAGCATGAACTATCCATGAAAATCATCCTAAAGTTGCCATCTATCCATTGAACATTAATCATTTTGATTAAGTATTTAAAAATTAAAAATATTTGGAACTGTACAGGGAGGAATTAACAAAACTGTTGTCTTAGTAAGCGATGTTTCTTTCTTTACACTTCTGGTTATATACTTAAGAATCTTGTACTGTACTTAATAACTTCAGTAAGTATGAATATAGTAGTCTGTAGGAATTTATTCGTATTCTAAGATAAAAGACTTTGTTTCATAACTTTTATGGTTATATGTACAGAATGAAGAATATCCTAATAAGGTTATTAACATTGTTAGATTGAAATAGGAAAGCGGAGGCAGTTGCTATAATCTCCCAAGTTAATTATGAGAACAATAAGATACGTTCGCTTATAAATAAGATTGTGTGTAGCTCTATGTGTCTTAATTTTTTCAATGGAGATAAGTCTTAATTTTGATAATAATTATGAGTTCTCATAAATACTGTAAGTGATAATAACGAGTAAAATTTTTGTTAAGTGTGATTCCATACAAGATATGACACAGAACTCATCTTCATCTCCTCCTTGTCATTTCACCAAAATTTAATAACATCAATTGCTTATATATAAAAATAATCCTACTAAGTTGAAAACACATATATACTTCTTAGGCTCCCGTGACTTGCTAACGAAATTTTTTTGAGTTATTTTATCTGGTACAAAATGCCTGACATTATACCTGATAGGAGTTTGTCTTATTGAAAATGTTAATCCTGCCAAGAAATTGTGCACGACCTGTTATCTGTTGCCCAGAGGTACTTCGAGTTTTAAAGGAAAAACCAGTTTTACAGACGTTCCAAATTTCTTCATAAAAACAATGAATCTGTTTAAAAATTTTTTCTTTGTAAAATGTATTCGTTTCAATGTCTCCATTGTTTTATGTATAAATAAATTCTTTTCTTTCTAAATTTTGTCTTGTTACTCAATAAAATTTAGCAAGAATAGATATGTTTTAATTGTATTTATTCCGTGCTAATGTTATCGAGCAATAATTAAATACACATTTAGTACTGTTTTAAGTTTTGTACTTTTATTTTCGCTTTATCAAATTGCTGTTGTTCCTTTGAAATCATCTTTTCATAGTAAAATCAATGGCATCCCGGAAATGTTAATTCATTGAATTAGGATGTAATAATTTATACAAGTATAAGTTTTTAACTTACAATCTGCGAAAAATATAAATAAATCCCTTGGCCATACGATATAACACTGAATACTGGTTTAGTTTAGGTCAAGAGTTTTCACCTGGCCAACGGGCTGTTTTCCGGATTTTTTTTTTTTTTTTATATTAGTAACACCTGAATAAGAGCTACTTTCCCATAAAATATTTCACGAGAAGGTTTTTCATACGAAATTGGCCCCAATTTAGATATTACTAACGTGAAGAAAACCCAGAAAACTCCAAGTGTTCAGCCCGTTGGACACGAGAGAACCCACGACCAAATAACTACTGGTTTTAAGTGGTTTCATCCACTCGGCTACTGGTGAAAACCTAGTTTGGTAAGTGAATATTTTTTCACACGATCTTTCTCTAATTCCAAAGGATAGAAAGAACGTGCAATATATATGTATATCTGAAACTTCGAATAAACAATTTGTAACATGCCTTTGAAAACATTGTTATTGATTTCTTGAAGCAGAGACAAAGAGTCGAGACTGCGCCAACGTAGTACTAGCATGAACTATCCATGAAAATCATCCTAAAGTTGCCATCTATCCATTGAACATTAATCATTTTGATTAAGTATTTAAAAATTAAAAATATTTGGATCTGTATAGGGAGGAATTAACAAAACTGTTCTCTTAGTAAGCGAAGTTTTTTTTATCTACACTTCTGATTCTATACTTAAGAATCTTGTACTGTACTTAATAACTCCAGTAAGTAAAAATAGAGTAGTCTGTAGGAATTCATTCGTATTCTCACATAAAAGGACTTTGTTTCATAATTTTTATGGTCATAGAATGAAGAAGATCCTAAGAAGGTTACTAACATTGTTAGATTAAAATAAGAAAGCGGACGCAGTTGCTATAATATTCCAAGTTAATTATGAGAACAATAAGATACATTCGCTCATAAATAAGGTTGTGTAGCGCTATGCGTTTTAATTCTTTTAATGGGGAAAAGGCTTAATTTTGATAACAACTATGAGTTTTTATAAATACTGTAAGTGATAACAACGAGTAAAATTTTTATTAAGTGTGATTCCATAGAAGATATGACACAGAACTCATCTTCATCTCCTCCTTGTCATTACACCAAAATTTAATAACATCAATTGCCCATATAAAGAAATAATTCTACTAAGTTGAAAACATACATATATAGTTTTTAGACTCTCGTGACTTGCTGACGAAATCTTTTTGAGTTTCCATATCTGGTACAAAATGCCTGACATTATACCTGATAGGAGTTTGTCATATTGAAAATGTTAATCCTGCCAAGAAATTGTGCACGACCTGTTGCACAGCGGTACTTCGAGTTTTAAAGGAGAAACCAGGTTTACAGACGTTCCAAATTTCTTCATAAAAACAATGAATCTGTTGACAAATTTTTTTCTTTGTAAAAATGTGTTCGTTTCATGCCTCCATTGTTTTATGTATAAATAAATTCTTTCCTTCTAAATTTTGTCTTGTTACTTAATAAAATCTAGCAAGAATAGATATGTTTTCAATTGTATCTATTCCGTGCTGATGTTATCGAGCAATAATTCAATACTGTTTTAAGTTTTGTACTTTTACGTAGTCGGGAGTTTTCACATGGCCAACGGGCAGTTTACCGGATTTTCTTCATATTAGTAACACCTAACTAAGAGCTAGTTTCGCATAAAACATCTCACGAGAAAATGTTTCATAAAAAATTGCCTCCAATTTAGATATTACTAACGTGAAAAACACCCAGAAAACTCCAAATGTTCAACCCATTCGACACGAGCGAACCCACGACCAGTGTTAATTGGTTTTATCCACTCGGCTACTGGTGGGAACCTACTTTGGTAAGTGAATATTTCTTCACACGATTTTTCTCTAATTCCAAAAAATAGAAAGAACGTGCAATATATATGTATACTTGAAACTTCGAATAAACAACCACTATCATGCCTTTGAAAACATTGTTATTGATTTCTTGAAGCAGAGACAAAAAGTCGAGACTGTACCATTCATCACAGCATAGTACTAGCATCGGCTATCCATAAAAATCATCCTAAAGTTGCCATCCATCCATTGAACATTAATCTTTTTCATTAAGTATTTAAAAATTATAAAGGCTATATATATTTATGTTAAATACCTGCATGTTACAACACTTAGTTTAGTTTAAGCGAAANGTACTAGCATGAACTATCCATGAAAATCATCCTAAAGTTGCCATCTATCCATTGAACATTAATCATTTTGATTAAGTATTTAAAAATTAAAAATACATAAACTCGTAGGAAAATAGAATAATTTTTATTTGTTTTTAACAAAAAGATTCGTGTCCGGTTTATTTAGAGAAATTATTTATAACTATATATTGAATTTATCACAATTTATCTTTACTTTTACCTGGCAAACATTTATGCGCCATCGGCTAAAAAAATTATTGCATTGCCAAGAATGCCAAAAATATCGCTATGGCGCTTCTCTACTCTATATTTTTCGTTAATATATTTTATTTGCTAACCTTTAAACATTGAAGATAATTGATTACTCTGACTGTCCTTCTGCAAGTACGTGTGAAAAATAATTACTCCCTTATGAATTGGATTCAGGAAAGTTACATGATAAGTGGTTTCTCGACAAGTTGACCTCTTCGCTGAAGTGTTTCTTCGACAGTCTTTGCAGACTGGATAAAACCACTGAGCACTGGTAGATGGTCATAGACTAGCATTTCGCCAATAGCTAGTTACAGTGAGTTCGCATTATATTTCAATTTTTAGATCTGATTTTAAAACATTTTTATAAAATAAATAGACTATATGTGAGATTCGAATAGCCTCTGGGTCTAACTAACAATTTAAAAATGAAGTTAAATTTTTGTAGAAAAATATTCTTTTATTTTGGTGTGAAAATGACTATTTTCTAGCGTGGGAAAGCAGATAACAGAGCCACTTCCTTCGACGGAAGTAGAAGCATTATTTGTTTTTCCCTTATCGGTTACAAATCTCTCCACACTGGGAATTTTCGACCCCTCAATAATTC